GTACCTAAATGAAGCCAGTTACGTCCTGATGTCATTAACATTATCTGCCTTACGTACTGAAATGTATTGCTGGGAAAATACTTCTGTTACACATTCTTATTGAATTGTATTATTTTGTTGGTTTACTAAAAGGTGAACCTTTTAAATCCTTTAAAAGGGTTTCTTCTAGGATTGCTTAAACGATCTTCTTCCAAACTGTAAGCACCTATTTAGGCTCTGTGTGCAAGAAAGGCGTCCTCACAATGTTATGCTGTTGTCATCAAATATAAAGGTTCAGTGGAGGAATTTCACAAATATTTGAAAAGACCTACCCTCTTCACTTAAAAAAAATGCTCATGCACTACCCTGTACCCAGAGAGGGAACTCCTATTAAACCATGCTAGATCATGCACAAGCGCATTTCTCCTTGAGGAGCTGAGGAGACACAATGATAAGACAGTCGTTCAGATGGAGGGACCATCTCACCCATATTTATATATTTTAAAAGTTTCCCCCAAAATAAGACTACTGGTACATTACAAAATAGATACAAGTACCCTGTGGCCACCGTATAACTACCAATGATGAAAATAAGAAAATATAGATACACTTCTCTCTTCTGAAGCCTTTCTCTTCTTTTCATACACTTTGCAAACCCTTTTTTTTTTACGGCCCTCAGTCATTTTCAAGGAACCGCAATGAGAAAGGCAGGCTTCAATGACTTGCTGAAACCGTAGATCACCACATTAAACTGCGCATGCTCAGAAAAAGAGTTAACTGAGGACGAGTACGTAGGAGGGAACTAAGTGAACATGTCACCAGAACAATTGACAATTACGGGGACCACTCATTTTGATCATCCACCTGGAAAAAGAAAACACTTTTAACATTAGAAATGCTATAATCAGAATGATGTGCAATGTTAGTTTTGAAATATTCATTTGAAAATACTTGCAAAAACTTTTATTATTTTTATTTTTTAATTTAGAAGGATGCATTCTTACTAAATAGCCCTTTTAAGATTGTTTGGGATTTGTAATGTTAATATGACACAATGTTTAAGAGGTATAAATACCTTTGCAAGGCTGTGTAGCCTAAAATGGATATATAGAAAAAAAAGACATACTGTATGGACTTCAAAGCCTATTTGTTTATCACATTTTCTAAAAAAAAAAAACTGTTGCCAAAGGGCAACTTGTAACATAGTTAGCTTGGGTTGTGTGTAATATTTGGTTTGTGCTTCAATATCTTTTCATTTCTCCTGGTGTACAACCTTTGTTCGATTGCACTTGTGGAAATTCCATCTCACTGACAAAGGAGGAAAAAAATCCATAGTCCTCTGTGGTGATCATATTGCATTAGAGCCTGTAAATATTTAAAAGGCTTTGAATATCATTGCCGTTTTCTGCAACAAAGTAAACATAACTATGTCAATAGGGTTTCCTACTGCCAGCCCAGAGTTTGTTTGTTGTAGAGGAGAAAAATTGCTTTCATGGACCTGGATCTATATTAGCAAATATGCTTTTTGCTTGGATATGTTGTGTTTTGCAAATGCTGAAAGGTTGCAGAACTCTGTAAATTTGTCAGAATTGCTATTCTAATTTATACATTGGCATGAAACAGTATTTGTCCCCCATGGGGAGTTTTTCTGTCTAACAGATCTACTGTAAAAGTTTCAGATCATTCAACTTGTGTTAATATCAAATAAATATAACAGAAATTTTAATACAGAATACAGTTTTTTAAACAATGATTTCAATCTTAAAAAGAAAAGTTAAATAAAACCATTTTTTTTATTGATAATCTTAAAACCTGAAAATGGTTTTGCCACAATTGGCTTCAAGAACTACTTTTTGTTGCACATCTACAAGTGATTGTTTAACATCCTCATAAAGTAACTTTGACCCAATTTTCTTTGATGAATTGTTTTAGTTTAACCACATTGTGGGATTTTCAGGTAGGAACAGTGTTTATGTTAATGTCACAGTGTCTCAGCTGAATTTAAGTCTGTACTAATTGTGCTTTGGATCATGCTTCTGCTGTGTTTCCAGGTGGTCTTGAATTTGCTGTCTCTGTTATTCTTTTATTAAACTGTTAATCTCCATCAAGAATAGCTGAAAAGTACCAACGTAGCAGGGCAAAAACACTATACTTTCACCAAAATCTGTGACTTTCACGGAAACCTTTTATCTATACTATGTGCTAGTTTTTGGTGTGATTTAACCAAATGTTGCAATATATCCCAAAAACTTTATATAAAATTAATTAATAATAAATTGTGTGATTGGGAAATTAGGCTTAAAGGGGTCATAGAATGCAAAAACCGAGTTTAAATTGTCATAGATCAATAAGCATAGTTCAGTGGGTGAAATGGACATACAGAGAAGTTCAAACCCCATCGACACCTCCTTTCTCTGCAAATCTCACAATTCTAAACTTCCACCATAAAATGGACAAATCCAAACGAAGCACTAAATTTATGTCAACTTGGGAATGTTGCCTTATTTGGTTCTGGCCTGTACTTTTGTCACACCCTGAAATTGACATACAGACCAGCCCACTGCTTCACTGGCCCAAGAACATGAATAAAGGTAGATGTAAGACACTAGTCCAGCTGTTTAGCCCACAGTTGGCTTTGTGTTTATGAGAATTACAAAGCAGGCAGTTTCGCTATTGAAAATGAGCCAGAACCACAAGTGTAAATGCAGTATTCCAGGCTGCATGGAGAACGGGGAAATTGTTCACAGTCTTCCCAAGGATCCGAAGACTTGACAGGCATGGATTATTTTTGTGTATCAGAAGATCTCTACAAAGTTTGATGCTCAGCTGTTCCTTTGCTCTAAGCATGTTACCGAAGACAGCTTATAAAATCTTGGACAGTTCAAAGCAGGATTTGCTAAACTTCTTTTACTGAAACGAGGGGCTGTTCCGACCGTTAGGCCATCACAACCACAAGCTGTAAGTATTATGTTGTCGCTAAGCTGTTGATAGCAATACTAGCATCAACAATTTGATGTTTGAATGAGTGAGTGTTTGTTGCTATGATGCCTCTTTGCTCAGCAGCTTCTCTCGATGTAAACCAACCAATCAGCGCATACAGTAGCTCAACTAAATATTCATGAGCATACCATAAAAGGTTTCATTCTAAGATTTTTTAACCAGGCTTGCATTAGGGCTCATAGAACAGCAAATATTCCCTTTTCAGCCCAACCAATGTTACACACCCTATTCAGAGACCTTAATGACCAGCACCAAATACCCTATATAATCATTCTATGACCCCTTTAAGTAAAAATCCAATCTGGAAACTCTTATCAGTCTCACCTGGACCACCTGCCTTATTCAAGTTCCAGCTAATCTACGTTGGGACTGCCTCCCCTCTGAAGCCAATCGTAGTTAAAGATTCCCTTCATTCAGGTCCTGGCTTAGCTTCCCTCCTGCATGCCAACCGAACGTTCACCCACCTCCTCCTCATTCTCAGGATATTCTCAGTCCCACTCGTCATCTTGCTTATTCTACCATCAGTGGTCACAAGGGGAAGACTACTTTAATCCTTTTCCTATGTTACTCATCCAATCGCATGTAAATTTGCAGCATCAAAGTCTTCTGCTGTGGTCATGTCAATAAAATCTTTTTAATTACATCTTTTCTCAGTGTGAGTCTCTCCTGGTTGAGATGTGAGATGGGCTTTTATGGGTGTTTTAATCTAGTTGTTAAGCAGTGGGGGTAACCTTTGAACTGTCCCATAGATACCATACTTGTATTATTGTTTTTGTGTTTAACACACACTGCCCATAACTGAATCAAGTGCAGCTTGATTCAGATTTTCTTCTGGGGAACGGGATGTTCGCCCTCCCCACAATTACTCTCTTGGACTAATTATGGTTTGCTTGCAACTCCTTGGAAAGTTCTCTATTGTTCCATATATCCTCCTTTGGTTCATTAATGCATAATGAAGCTACCATTGTGGTTTCCTGCCGTCCCAAATTAGATTAGAAATCTCAGGATCAGCCATTTAGACAAACAGCTTATAATGAATATTTGCTTTCGTACTTTCTAACCTCTTCTGTTTTGGATTTATTCCAATAGGAATAACATGTTATGTTTTTTTTTCAGAATTCTAGCCTACTCCATGTAGTCAAATAGGTGACCCCCCCCCCCCCTTTTGTGGACAGGCAGTGATGTGGCCTGGTTGTAGTTTAGTTTAGCTTATTTATTTAGAGAACAGGGACAACGCACAGTAAACATGAACCTCAAGGGAGAGATGCATTGTACCAGGTTATAGCTCATGTTCTACTGTAATTTCCACCCATAGTCCCTGGCCAGGCCAATGTTATACTAAAATACATAAAACATCATAAATTCATGGATAACGGCATTTACATTGACCATATTTATAAAAGGAAATCATGAACAACAATTAGATTACAAAAAAGTTGATAAACACTTATTCAAAAGTAAACTCTTGCTGTATGATGGTGGTGTTAGTAGGGAGCATGTTTTCAAATTGGGAAATTTTGTTTGCATTACTTTTTTTCCTTAGATATGAAACTATTTTCTTTCTTACATTATTTACTGAAGCTTTGAATAAAAAGAAATAAAAACAAATCTAATATTGAAAATATATACACGTTTGGAATATATATCTTTTATTTTTGCCTACTAAGTGAAGTTGTCTACGCTCTAGCATTAGAAAAGAAAAACTGCAATGGGTCTAAGATGTGGAAGACTTGACATGGCAGCACAACTGCACAGGGTTAATTAATTATTTATGAAGGATTTATACTGGTTAAGCTGCAAAATTTAGTGAGAACGTGATCATTTTCCTTTTCTTCTTACTTGGTGTTTTGCAGATCTTCACAGAAAAATGAGCGCACCCTTTGATGTACAGTCAGTTTCCTTGACTGTCATTGTGAAATAGTTCTCCTTGACAGCCCTTCCCCAGTGTTTTCATTGAATCATTATCTGTGCTAATGTTTGCACTCAAACTCCTTTTTTTTCTTCCCTCTTTTGTCTTGCAGCTCCATACTGACCTCGATAAGGGGGACAGTTCGGTGAAGTACACCCTCTCGGGGGAAGGTGCTGGCTCCATTTTCACAATTGACCAAACTACGGGGGACATCCATGCCTTAAGGAGTCTTGACAGGGAGGAGAAGCCTTACTACACCCTGCGGGCCCAGGCTGTGGACATTGACACCAATATCCCTCTGGAGCCAGAATCTGAATTTGTCATCAAGGTCCAAGATATCAATGACAATGAACCAAAATTCCTGGAGGGACCTTATACAGCCAGTGTACCTGAGATGTCACCCGTTGGTAAGAGACCATACAGAGTTCTATGAAGTCTATTCTTTGCAGGGAAAAAACTTTCTCTTATTTTTGATAAACAAAAAACAAGTTCAGCTCTGGAGCAGAATGGTTGCAACCAGCGGGGGTAAAGCTGCTCCACCTAACAGATTGTGACATTTCAGAGAACCATTTTATTCTTGGTGTGCCCCTAGTACATTTCCCAGCTTTATCTTTAAGAAGGGGGGCAGATCAAAGTAAATTGCTAGGAGGATGGTTTTCTCTTGATGTGAATCACAATGAAGACCTCAAAACATGTAATACATCAGTATCGGAGGGGATGGCTTGAAAGCAAGGAAAATATGATCCCCAAATCAAAAGCTTCACTGTAATGTTTACCATAGGAGATACTTTCAAGTTTCTCTCTGTACAAAAAACAGACTTTACTGCTTTGACCATGAAAGCAAAGGGAAGTTTTTCTTTTTTTCTTTCTGTTGGATTCATGTAACAAGTTATTAAAATTATTATTTAATTTAAACCAAGGTCAGGCCACCTTTCTGTAAAAACAATGAAGAGCAAAACTGTTGCTCATCTTCATTATTAATTCAAAATCTTTCCCCAACAGATTCCCCTAAATCAGACAATACCCCTCAAACTGAAAATATTACATCGTAATGTGCAATGGGAGACAAGGCAGTCTGTGATTACAGATTACCTTGTGTTTATATTAACACAGTGTGTCAGTATACATATCAATATTCTCAACATAACGTTGGGATGTCTGTTTAGTTTTACAGCAGTAAGCAATGGATACCAATTCAGACAACAAAGAGACTTTAAATATGTTCAACTACACAACCAACGTAAGAGAGCAGAGACAGATTGGGGAGTGAAAGAATTCATTGCTGGATGGGAAAAGGATCGTCACTAATGACAGGCATAACAGTGTCACCGCTTGTCAGCGATATTTTAGTCCAGCAGTTTAGTGCTATTTTTCTGAAAGACATAATTCTGAGAGATTTTGTGTGGTGATGGATTTTTAGAACTTGAAATAGATCACAGAGCAGAATTTCGGGTGGTTTGCAATTTCATCTGTTTTCTTTTTAGAAGCAATTTAGCATTGTGAAGGCTCAGAACAGGGGACCCAGTATTCGAGGCAGACAGTCAGTCTCAAAAGTTTTTTATTCAAAACTGACAGATTTAAAGTAACAGCAAGTACTACTAAGGCAGGAAAAACCCGCAGGAGGAAAGCACAGGTTAGTGATGATGCCTATCTGACAGAGGAACGTGTAAGTCACTAACCTGGTCTTTTAGATCAGTCCTGATCCAGCCGGTCAACTGCCAAAAAGATGCAGCAGATGCTGCCCAGAGAGTCCGAGATGTATATGGAGGACGGAGAACAAGCAGAAGACCAGGTCCAGGCATACAAAGGAAAGATAATTCGCAGTGCAAAGCCAAAGCCGGAGTTGAGAACGTGGTCAGGATTCAGAACCAGAAGACTAGAAGTCCAAAGAGGTTCCAAAGGGAAATCCAGAAAGGTGTGAGGAATTAGTACTAGGTTCGGTTAACAGATAGAATCCTGGTAGAAGTCAGAGGACAGGTCAGTCAAACAGATTAGATTGGAACAGGCAGGCTCAGTGGATGATAGGAAGAACAGGTCAGGATCAGGTAATCAGTAACACTAAGGTACCCTAGAACAAGAATAACCTGGCACTGATGACTGATTAGAAGGCTGGTTAAATAAAAGCTTTAGCAGATGGATAACATGAACTACAATGATAAAACGGGCAGAGATTGGCAGCTGAATGAAATGAGTAATCCAGCCAATCATCAGCGCCAAGATCATGACAAGCATTTATTATTTCAACTTTTGTAAGATCAGGCCCTGGAGACTAAATCTAAGATATTAGACATTTAGTGATACATACAATTAATGCAAAAGAAAGAACAAGTTATGAGTAAACATAACGAACACTAACAAAACGTCAATAGTGAGACAATATGACATAGTAGTTAGGAGTTCAGATGGTTATGAGTTTCTACCTTGTAGTGTTTATTAACTACATTACAGAAAACATTGTCTCACTAAAGGTCCTATGGAAACATGGTACTCTGTATATGGGAATTTGTTTTAGTGGCTAGTAGATTGGATAAATCCAACAAACATTAAACCAAGCAACAAATTATTCCATAATCCTTTGTCAATAAATAGTTTATCCCTGAATCATTTAGAGAATGTGGCAGATTAAAAACATTATTTCAGGGGGGTGTAATTACCGCAAAATGAAGTCTTATGCTTAATCAATGTGTTTGTTTTGCAGCCTGCACATAAACTTCTCCTTTATGGTTATTAATGTTTCTTTTAACATCAGACTCATGCATTTTCCTTAAAAAAAATCCCATTCAGAATCGGATCAGTGTTCAGATGGCTTTAATTCTTATCTCCCAGCCTCATGCTTAAAAAAAAAACCATGTAGCTATATATTTTGCAATTTGCAGTGTTAATTGTTTTTCGTTAGACCACTACTGCTATATTCTTGAATAACAGTATTTAATAAAGTTGGATAGTTTTTAATTTCTCAAGAATTCTGAGCATTTGTTGTTCTCATTCAAGCATTAGATTTTCTTTCCATTGTATAAATGGAAATCAATTTTACCGCTTTAGAGCCTTATGTTATGTAAAAGCTGTTACCTTTGTTGCATTGGAATGTGTGGGAGTCAAAGGTGCTTCAAGGCTTTTACACTTTCAACGCATTCAGGCTGTGCTTGTTGAGGCTCTGCTCTTTTTGCATTAAGAGGAAATGTGTTATCTCATCTCTTCTATACACATGTTTAACACCCTACTAGTACTGTATTTCTAATCAAGCATCTCGCAGAGACACTAATCTCTCTCCCCTTCACCTGATGTTTTAATTTCACTGTTACCATCAACACTGAATGAAAAGCCATTTTAACATATAACGAGTTCTTTACAGGCATCCGGAAGCTTAACGGAATAGAAAATGACCAAGTTAAGTGCCAACCCTCTGGTCAGTGCCTCTCGATCATAAAGGGATCCCACACATCCTGCAATTTTCATCTTCATCTAGTATATTTTTACACCACCCAGGTGGGGGAGTCATTTTAGGCAATCTGCACATGTTGTGAAACTGTAAAAGTGGAATCCGTTATATTTGAGCATTCATTTTGGATTGCCTTTTTTTTCTCTTAATGTAAAAGCAGTAAAGCAAAACTTCATACATGTAGTCATCTTGTCATTGTTGCGTATGCTCTAATGCTCTAATGACTTCATACATGTAGTCATCTTGTCATTGTTGCGTATGCTCTAATGCTCTAATGTAGGAGAAAATAGATCCTACCTCCCCCCACTATATAAAAAGCAGAGGTAAAACGAAACATAACAAACAAAAGCAGAATAAAATCAACAACAAAAATTAGGATATATGATATTTATTATTTATTTACTATTATATTATTCTGCTTTTATCAGTGTTTTCATAAATGTTAGAACTCAAAGTTTATGTATACCTTTCTTAAAGATCAGTGAAAAGGTCTTTACTGATACTGCAGATGTAAAAGACGCCTAATATTGGATGAAAAGCGTTTTACCTGTTCTCCACTGTTATTTTATGATCTTTCCCCTATTTGGAGGCTGAGGAGAAAGTGCTTTGATCAAATGAGATCACCGTCTGGCTACAATACTGCACTTCAGATCCATTGAATAAGACCCACACTGCCATGTGTTTGGTTTTCAGCAGGCCAAACTAAAACAAATCACCTTACATTTAGACATCTATAATCATGTATCTTGTCTTAAAAGTTAATATTTAGTTTAAATGTCCAATTTGACACTACCATCTTAATGCAATACAATTTGTCAAATTAAATTATCCTAATGCATAGGTTTATGCATAGGCAAGTACTTTTCCCTCAGATTTATTATTTTTTATGTTTTAAGTTTTAAGTTTTAGTTTTGGAAAAGTTTCCCTTGAGGCTGATTTATACTCAGAAACCATGTCATCAGCATGTGTGTCCCCGTGAATGCAAATGTGCCTCGGCCCCTGCCGCAGATGCTCTCCTGCACCTGTCCAAAATAGTAGGTGACCGCAGACCGGAGGCCTCTGATTGGTCAAATCTACATCCGCTCTACACTGTGCGTATTTCCTGTTTGGTACTTAACAGCTTGTTTTTATTAGTATGACCACCATTTGTG